GCGTCACGCTTTGCTGAAGCTCACGAGATTATTATGAAATCACAATCGTCGAGGTAACCATTTGGAACGTATGGGGACCTCCAATGGTAAGCAACAGTAATAACATAAAACGAAAGAAGCACTTTCAATAAGAATGGATCTAAAGTTAAATAAAACGCAAGTAAATGTTACTAACTAACCATGATAAGCACATATGTTGTGGATTGCGGACGCTAGTAGTAAGTGGTGCAAAAGTAAAATGAGTAAACTTGAGTGAAGCAACATCATACTTTAGCACAAATATTAGCACCGTCTGACTTTAAACATGCTGCAATAATCGTCGCAAATAACTACCTTGATTCGCAAGTTTTATAGTTCTTCCCTTTTTATTTTGTCTGTTCAATTAGTGATTTATTGGTATTGAATATTCAATATTGATCTGGTATAAAGAGAAATATTCGAAAATTCATCTCGTAGGAGAGGAAGGCCGATAAGACGACTTAATCATATGGCGAACCACGGTTTCTCGCCCGGTTACCAGTCCATGTCGAGTGTGGAGTATTAGCCAGTTTTTTGTTTTCGAAAGAATGGACTTGATGGTCGTATTCAATCGCGTGCCGCTTGCAGATACTGATAGCTAACTTTTAGCTAGCCCAGTCTATCACATCGTTTGCGAGACAAATTTTTGAATAATGTTACTAAAGCTCATAATCAACAACTTCTTTTTTTGCTAAACTGAAAAATGACGAATAACACGCAATACTACAGAAACATGGCAATGTTTACAATCATGTTTAATTATATATCTGAACGACACAACTGTTCGAGAGACTTCAAAAATTGCAATTGTTACGTCAATTTGACTTATTACAGATTGCTCGTAGTTACGGAAATAAACAATGAAATCGAAGCTCGGGGAAACATCCATGGATGTTCCTTTGAACCCGAAAATTTATTTCTATACTTTACCATTGCAAAATTTTAGATACTGCTGGTTATCGCTTTATAAACTGGTTTACATGTTAAAATCACCGTTTATATCAAGAATATATATCCACGAGCCGCTTACAGGTACTGATGACTAATTTGGACCAATGACATTAAACAACATGATAGGCAACTCTGACGTCACTCCATAAGACTACATGCGAAAGATTGTGTTTCATGATACGCTCCAATGCACATATTTCTCGTCGCCTTTCGCGACCGTTTTCCGCTTGCTTTTGCTAATCGGCGTCCTCTTTACGTTTAGTACCTGCCTTTTTGCGCCTGTAACGAAAGAAAATAATCTCTATATCTAAGAAGTTTTGCTCACTTGGAAAGCTGGAATGACATACAAGCTGTAAAGAGTAATTCTGGACATCATAGACTTTTTTCATCAGAGAAGATTACAAACGCGATAGAGTAAAGATTTGTGTGGGACATTTTGCAGATAATGACAAAGTTCAAAGTTAGTAATTTTAATGTTTGCGCTTAAACATTGAAATTTCATTTAAAGATGTGTCATACAAAACAGCAAAACTGTTTTTACTTCTGTTAACGGTGCTGTGATACAATTCCATAACACAAAGTTTGCACCTATCGAACTTGCTTTAGTAGGTGAATTTATTAGACATTATTAGACAAATTTATTGTGAGGAATTTCGCATGTTATTCTCATTGATTGGTGGCTGTATATAATTCCTATTAATTGTGAATTCTGATTATAACAAAGAATTTACTGGCACCTTTTTCTTGTCAATACTCCAAGCTGAGGTAATAAACAAGACAATACATTTATGTCATCTGGAAGCAAAATATGCACACTAATTAAAAGTTTGACACATTGAGATAATACATCATTACAGAAAATACAAGTTAAAGATATGTATGACCATCACATGGTAATTAAAATTAAAAAAAAAATTAATAGGGGCTGTGGAGTATGAAAAGTTCAAGACAAAGAAAAGAACAAAAGTTCATAGCCCATGAACTCTCAATTTTGCCTCCATTGCTTTGTGAAGGCCAATATATTCCCAGTGGCTGAATTGGTTTACCTTTATGATAGCAACGATTTCGTATTCAATACGGCAAATTTTTTTTTTCAATTTAATTGAAGTGATATTATTTCCCAAAGCAATGCTTGAATTGTCTAGAATAGATCAGTGGTGTCAAACTCATGGGTTTTCGAGAGCCGCATTGCATGTTGGGAATTGTAAAAAGTGCCGCAAACAGTTTTTGATAATGTATACTTGAAAGATATTTTCAAGATAGTTTTAGTTTGTGACATATATTACGATGCAACTAAACAGTTGGATTAAGTTTTATTATTTTCTTTAATTTCAAATGCAATTTCATGTTAATATTTGCATTCCACTATTATTGCAAGTTACTGTATTTATTACAAAAAATCATAAAATTTTATTTACAACCATCAAAATCATTTTTGAACAAGCTTTGGATAAGGAAAGAATAATACATACACTAAAAAAATGACTTAATCTAAATATATGGACCTAAAATTAACAAAAATACTACAATATAAACTCAATGTTTTTTAATTACATTTGTCCTGACGTTTGGCATCTTTTTTGTGTCACCAGCATACTAAAGCCAGGATGGAATAATTTTATAGTACCAACTCTAACTAACGAGGTCACATGATCATGGGTTAATCTGGATCTTTGCGAATGTTTAATTAATTCCAGTAATGCAAAAAAGTTACTTTTATCATTTCATGTATAGATCAGTAAAAAAACAAATGACAGATTTTTTCGACAAGACATTTCGCGCCACATTGCATGGCATAGGATTGCTTGGATTATTATTGATATTTAGTAACAAAAAAGTTGTATAATTATATTAATATACGAACACATGGAAATTTTCTGTTCGAAGTTGGTCTTCGAATTTGTCATATTGACTGCTGGGCTTATTGTGTTTTTCATTGTACTGATGGAAATATGACAAATTAAACAATGTGCTTCAGAGAATTTTGTGAAATGCAGAAATATTGAACTCCCATTTTCTTCGAAAATGCCACCTTCTTCATGTATTTTGCGTTTGACTTAATAACTCAAGTGTTTTATTCAAGTATTCTTTTGCTAGCCTGATGTGTATTCTTGAATGGGTTAAAATGTGAACAAAAAAAATTAATTTTTTAAAACTACTTTTAGTAAATTGTTTTCTGTGTGAATATTCAATTTCACTTCAAAAAGTTTGAAAAATCTGTCACATTTAGATAAAAAAAACTTTCAAAATACTTTTACAATTATTGTTAAGCTTTCGAGGTCGCACTGGAAGTTCTCTGGGGCCGCGAATTTGGTCTGGATTGAAGTTGTCCAAAATATATACCAGTATTTTATCATGAATCATGATTATACCCTTTCCTGAATTTTTTCTATAGTACTACCAAAAGTTGATGAACCAAGTATAACATAGGTGTAGTGACCCGTAATTCTCATTTTTCAAAGCTGTTTTAAGTATGCCTGGCATGTTTTGTGCTTTTCCGCAAAGAAGACCGCTTATGCAATCTTACGCATTAGAATTTTTAGTTATTTTCCTCAAGCCTTGCAGGTTGTAGGGGCCATACACAACTCTACCGGAGGGTCAAATGCTTTTGCATGCCTTCATAGGTTGTTCTTCTATTGCAAACATTTATGGAGTATTCTAATTATATTTCTTGGAATCACACTGTCACTGATATGTCGCCAGACTTCTTCTGATATCTCCCCTTCTGCTACAGTTGTCCTGTGAATAAATAATAGGAAATTGAGATTAGACGAATAGTTGAAAGTTTTGCTTTATGTCGGCTTAATTTTTTGATTAATATACTTACTATTTTTGCTATTGCCTCTTGTGCTGCAGGAGTCTCACAATGCTTAGACAGGTTTGTCCACAACTTTCACATCTGAAGAAAGAGAGGAGATTTATTAATTTTCGTTAAGAATAAATAAAGCAGTCTATATGACTTAGAATGGAAAAGCTAATAAATCCAATATCTCATGTTTAATGTAAAAAATGTTTTACTGAATTTGGTATATAAATCAACTAATAAAAGGGTTTAGTCAGAAAATTACAAGCATTCGTGGCTCTAAATACTTGAGAGATCATACTATACAATATAGACCGGTATGAGTAAAATGTTAGGTGAACTTGTTAACCCTTTGATTCAATACGCAAATAAAAGTGAATGAGCAATAGTATGCTACAGCAATGAGTATATATTTCTACACTGATTAGAAAAATCTAAATGGAGGTGCATGAACTATTTGAAACCATAAAAGGTAAGTAAATATGCAATTTCGGCAAATGGGCAACTACGTACCGTATTGATTTGATAACTTCGTAGTATTTGACAAAAGCTGGCTTTCCCACATGTACTTAACAGTGCTATGTCCGGGTGTGATTTACAACAATAGTATTTACTTTACCTTTTTCCGATTTCTTTTTACCTTCAATTTTCCAAAATATCATTAACATCGACAACAACTGTCAAAGCAGGCACGAACACCATTTGTGCTACGCCTTGAAAGCAGCACACATCCGCTCGTTTTCGTCTCGTCAAGTATGTGCATTGGAGCGTGCTATTGAATACGATCTTCGGACAAAAATGCCGGAGTTGCGCATCATGTTGTTAAATGTCATTGTTTGGACTTACTCTATCGCAGCCCTTCCGGGACCAATTTTTGATTATAGCAACTAAACTAAAACCTCTCGGAAGACGTAATGACCATCAAGTTATTTTATTTACAACTAGTTTTTGGAAACACAACTGAATATTGACCAATAACCCGTAAAACGACGAAAACGAGGCAATGTTTACAACCATGCTTAAATATCTGTCTGTAGTAGTATATATTTACGGTCTGAGTGTGGAAGTGGAAGTGTCTGAGCGACTTCCTAAATAGCCATTGTTACGTCATTGTTCGTTTATTGCAGATTGGTTATAGTTACGGAAATAAACAACGAAATCGAGGCTCGGGGAAACATTCAATGACCATCGTGCCCATATGTATAATTGAATAGGTGGCGCTAACATACTAACTGCATCAGTTTCGTTTTCTCTGGTCTTGCAAGTCATTGTCTGCTCTGTAAATGTTTTTTTGTCTTTTTTGCACGGCAATTAAATAAATACTACGGTACTATTCTTGCTGAGTCTACTCTCCCATTGTAGCACAGATCCTTGTTATTGTTAATGAGCGCGGAAACACAGCCTCTAATGACAGCGAATTCGTGTGAAATAAACGACGTCGCCGCACAGATCATGGCCGGTGATAAAATGGAAGTTCAACCTGGAATTTCAAGGTTTCCTGCTTGTATCGTATGGACTCCAATTCCTATGCTGACGTGAGTTTGTTTTTCTCAAATTTCCTTGTTTCACAGTATGACAGCCATAAATAGTTTTTCTATTAGATCAATCCGGGCCTCTATACCGGTATCTGTATATCGGCAAACCAGCCTTGTGCAATAGACTAAACCTGTAAACAGAAGCAAAATCCAAAACCTCACCATTGGATGCCACCATTGGATGAAAAGAACAATCCAATTTACTGGAAGAAAAAAATTTATCGCTGCGTTCGAATGTTTTCAGCAAAAAAAATAACAGAAAGTTGGTCACGGACAGCCGCGATTAATTCAGACTATTATTGAAACAAGCATGGCGCAATCTGACGCATCTGCTGTCGTGCCAGGCGTCCTCGTTTCATAGACAAATAGAGTGTTTGTTTTTTTGGACCAATTGTCGGGACATCTTGAACAACTGTGCCCTACTGATTTTATTCAATTGTTATGAAATTCCCCAGCGATTAGCGAACCAATCAATTAAAAAAGTCACAAGAAGGCTGTTATTATTATTTCTCATATTTTTACCAAAATCTTTGCACCTTAATGACATTTAGTTGGGCGTGGCGACCTAGCGATAACGTGTTGGTCTTCACTTTGTTTTCCTTTTTAGATTTTACATCTCTGGATCAAATTCCATGTTCCCTATCTAGCGTTTAAATTGAATTGGATAGGCAGTCCTCTATAAAATAGTAGCATAGCCTTAGATCTCAGTTGCTGCTTAAACAAGGCCTTGTTTATTGCTAAAGGCCGCGTAAAGTACAATTGTCTTGAATTTTACAGACACTGTAGTGCAGGCGTCCATAAGGTTTTTGGACCAGGAGCTAAAATTGTGCCCACCTGGACTGGCGGGCATGTAAGTGTGAATCAAAAAGTTCCATTTAATGAAGAATATTTAAAGTGTCACAAAAGCCAATTTGGAATAAAATAGGCCTCGTGTCCAAACTAAATGTAACCGCAATTTTAACAAATTCCTTGAGCATTCAACAAATATTGGTCATTCAAAATTGTGTCCCTCAATTTTAGCATTGCCCAACTTATTTCAGATGGCTGTTCCCATTCATTGGACACATGGGCATTGCTTTAACGTCAGGAGTGATAAGAGACTTCGCTGGGCCCTATTATGTTTCTGAAGATGATATGGCGTTTGGGCAACCAACCAAATACTGGCAACTGTCATTGAGCAAAGTGAAGAAAATTCCGTGGGATCAGGCCGTAACAGAAGCATCTGACGAATATAAAAAACGAATGGTTAGTTTTATTTAAAGAATCTCCGGTACTCCCGTAGTGTGTTACGAGTTCGGGTACTGTCTGTGTTAGCCAAGTGAATATATCCCTGCGCATGGGTTTCAGTCTCTTTACACAACTTGATGTAAAGTAGGCGAACAAAATTAGTTACCTCTATATTGGTACACATACTTTTAGAGTGCCGAATTTTTTTATTTCTGAGAGGGTAGAAGAAAGAGATAAAATGCTTAATCATAAGGGAAGTTAAAGAGGTTGTTTCTGAGCAAAGCTACCCCACTAAAATGCCCCCTACCGATAATATGAAGCAGGGGTTTCCAAAGTTCATTGATCGGGAAATTTAAATCTTATTTTTTTTCTTCAAAATCAATCAAAACCCAATAATATCCCAATCCAAGCAATTTGGTCCATAAAATAGGAACAGGATTCACATATTTTTCCCGGGGGAGAGGCCTCCAGGTCTGGTACCAGTCTGTGTCTATGTCAGGTATTGGATTAGTTAGTTATTTGTTTTCGGAAGCATGAACTTGATGGTGGAGGAAGCCGTAACCGACTTGCGGTTACGTGAACCACCCTACGGGCGGCAAATACTGTTGCACATAGACACCTTGCATGGCATTTGTGGTGTTAGTGTTTCTTTACAGTGTAATTATTAGATAAACAATGTACTCTTGATTACTCTAGTTCTGTCGTACTGCATTCTATACTCTTTTTGTGTTATTGTATTGTTTACAATGTTAAGTTGTGGTAGTGGTGTTCCTATGTTTGATAAAGCCTAGCCTCGGTATCCTGTTATCTTTTGTAACAGCATTCGAACCTGCAAACCCACGCAGAGTAGTCAGAGTTGCTGTGGCGAGCGTATTCCTAACACTTAGCAGAATGCCTCACACCGTCGAGCCACGGCACTTGAACTCAAACAATTTACAAATTAAAATTTTTATTCATCATATTATTTATAACAATTTATCATTATTTTCAGCATAATCTATGTTGTGACAACTGTCATTCTCATGCTGCAATGGCTTTAAATCTGATGAATTATGAAGGCTCTACTTCTTGGAATATGGTCACACTATGTTTCCTTATGTTAATTCATGGAAAATACGTCAAGTAAGAAAAATTTATATATATATATATATAAATCAGGGTGACCAAAAAAAAACAGAATTCATAGATTTCCTTATTACTTCTAAGACAGTGGTTCCCAACCTTTTTTGGCTCGTGACCCCCGTTGGTGGTTTACATATAACACGCGACCCCCTGCCTCCCTTTCTATACTTATCAAATTGAATATTGTGCAATTTAATTTTCCATCAAGCTGCAGTTTTACTCAATGTGACGGGTGGCATTGAAAGAGCGTAGCCAACTATGTAATTCGAGGTTGAGTTCTTGATAAAGCTAGTCTCATATTCCCGACTTTCATTCGATTTTGTGCCTTTGTAAGATGTGAAACCAAATTTCAAATAGTCTTTCTCATATTGTCGCTTCTTCGCCGTGGGAAGTAAAATATTGTTACTGCAGAATGTATGATAATCTTCTCGATGAAACAACATAGACTACAAACCTACCCTGCTGTAAACCCTTTTGGTGTTGAAATTCGGGCATTCCACAACATTGCTTCGAAGCCTTCGTGTTTACCGCATCGCGGGGTGCGGATTTGCAGATGAGGGTGTGTGTCGTCACACTGGTTGACATGTCGTAAACATCTCACGCCGCTTGCTCGGTTGTTAAGCTAGAAGCGACATTCTGAGGTCTCATGACAGCTAGTGGAAAACTAGCGAAAGAGAGTTAATTCCAGACTTTTTTGCGTTCTATTGACATTGTTTTGCAAGACCCTTGCGCCCCCCTAAAAACCTCATAGGGGTCGCGACCCCCAGGTTCAGAATCACTGTTCTACGAGAATGGTTTATTTCGTTTTGTTTGCGTTTGTTCTCTCTGGAATATTTTCCAAAAAGATCATTTGTCACATACTTTAGAGCAGTGGTTCTCAAACGAGGGACCGCGCCCTACTGGGGGAGACATAGTCAATTTTTTGACGTGAAGCTACTTAAAAATATATGTTAGATTTGATCTTGCTCGCCTTTTTTAACAAATAATTGGCTAAGTAGTCTGGTAACCGGGGGAGAGACCGTGGTTTGCCCCATGAGTAAGACATCTTATTGGCTTTACTTTCCCCTGGAACAAATATGTAAAAATTATTCGGTGCTCCCGAAGTATGCGAACCAAGATGGCGGACATCGGAACGTAACAGGTTAGGGTTAGGCGATAATTTTTTTTCCAATTTTCCTTATTTTAGTACTATTATCAGTTCGAAGACTAGCCAAGAGCCTCCCGTAGTATTTATACCTAAAATTATGTATGGCCTAACCCTAACCTATACACGTATTACATTCCGATGTCCGCCATCTTGGTTCGCATACTTCGGGAGCCCCAATTATTCTATCTCTGAGCAAACCTATAAACAAAGCTCCTGTTTTCAGCTTCTGTGGATTTCTGAAGACCTGGCTTCCCTTCCTGATAATGGTTGCGATTGTTGTCACAATTGTACTTTTGACAAGATAATGGATGATTGATTGGACATGATTATGATGTAACAATTTTGTACAAATAATGCATATATTTATATATATATATATAACGTTAACTGAGCTTGAAGTCCAAGAAATTCAGTATTTGTGATCGAACAAAAATACCAAAACTGGGGATGCTGCTCGATTGCCCAGTGATTGGAGATTTGACGTCCTATTGGATATTACACATTGGACGATACAAGGGATTGTTACTAAACAATTGTTCTGTCCCATTGGTTCTCAAACAGTGGGCCGCCTCAGAGGAGGAGGAGGAAAATTTTTTTAGGGGGCGTGATCATGCTCGCTTTATTTTGAATATTTACGTCCCACCCATGTATTTTCAACATGTTTTGAATAAAAAAATACTTTCGCCGGTACTCCTGTAGTATGTGAACCAAGATGGTGGACACCGAAACGTAGTGTGTGTACCGGGTTAGCCCATAAATTCAGGTACAAATACTACAAGAGTCACTTGGCTACTCTTCGAACTCGTAATAGACTAAAATTGGAATAAAAAACTATGGCCTAACCCTGACCTGGTACACATACTATGTTCCGGTGGTTGCCATCTTGGTGCACATACTTCTGGAGCGCCCTTTCGCCTTACTATCTGTTATTTGCAGCTTTTTGTTAGCTAGTTATTTCTGGGGTGAGTGCGAGACTTGACAAATTCTAAAGAAGGGACATGGCTCAAAAGTTTGAGAACCACTGTTCTCAATAAACAGATCTCACAGCATAGCATTTCCAGCGAGGTTCGAACCCAAATATCTTTGCCTAGCCTTGTTAGCTCCAGCTTGGTAAAAACCGGACCAGAGTAAAACAAACTGCACATTTGAATTTTTCTTGGTTTTGATTTTTTTTTCATATTTTGTGTAAAAGCTTTTTTTTTAATTTAAATGTTTCATAAATTTTTTTATTTATCTTTGTTGTTGTGAAGTAGATCCTAACATGAATTATGAGATTATACTGGAAGTTATTCATAAATTGGGCGCTCCAGAAGTGTGTGTACCAATATAAAGTAATTAATTTGGTTGCCTACTTTACATCAAGTTGTGTAAAGGGACTGAAACCTATAGGCAGGGGGTATATTCACTTGGCTAACACAGACAGGGAATAAAATTATGACCCAACCCTAACCTTGTACACATACTACGGGAGTACCGAAATTATATTAAACATTTTTTGATGTTTCACGAGTGTTATCTGTGATTAGTGCTGGGGTTCCAAATCTTTTAAGAACAGGTTTTCCAATGACTGAACTCACTAACAATGGGTTCCCGCATTTCATAGAGAAAAACATGAATCCCATAAAACTTTTGAAATGTCACATCCGATCCAACGAAGTGTTTCATCCGCTCACTTGTATCTGCTAAAGTTTTGATGGATATGAATTTTTGTTGGAAAAATAACGTCATGATGACCCAATTGTTACATTGTGCTTCTTATTATCATATAACCGTTACCTTAGCTGTTGGACTAGCAACTGTTTTTTATTCATAGTTTTCCTCCGGCCGAGTAATCAAATCTATTATGTGTAGTAATTGCCCGCTCCTGATCTATTGGAGTTAAAGGAACTGCACAGTTGAATTTTTTTTCATTTCATTTTCTTCCATGATATTTTGTGTAAAATCTTCATTTTTTTTTCACTTTAAATGTTTCATGAAATTCTTATTTATCTTTGTTTTGAAGTAGATTCAAACATGTATTATGAGATTATACTGAATAATATAAATAGGGCGCTCCAGAACTGTGTGTACCAATAGGAGGTAACTAATTTTGTTCGTCCATTTACTACATAAAGTTGTGTAAAGGATTGAAACCTATGGGCAGGGGTTATATTTCACTTGGATAAGACAGACAGTCCCCAAACGCTTAATGGGAATAAAATTATGGCCTAACCCTAACGTGGTACACATACTACAGGAGTACCATATATTGTTCCAAAATTGTATTTATTGAACATTTTTTGATTTTTCATGAGTGTTATCTGTGAGTAGTTTCGTTGCGTTGAGAACAGGTTCTAGTTTGTATTGGACCCCCTAATTCCCTCACTTCATAAAAAAACATGAATCCAATACATAACTTTTGAAATTCCAAATATGATGTCAGTCGCCGGCATTTGCTGCGGACGTCTGAAGCAGTGGTTCCAAGTTGATTGGCTGGGGGATTCAAAATTAGAAGCGTAAGGATATTTGTGGGTCGAGAGAGAGGAACACCTAAACCGGTACATGCAATTAAGACAATTGTTACGAATAAACTCGTGCTTGAACTGTGATAATGACAAAACAATTGGCGGTATCTAGAACACGAAAAGGTAAAAACTAAGTTTTGAGGGCCGTATTTAATTGTTACGAGGGCCATAACCGCTGATATAAAGCAAAAAAAAGGAATATCACTGAATTCCATCACTAGTGAGGTGGAGATAATGTCACGGAATGAGCTTTATCTCACTATTGAGTTTACCTTTTTGGCAATGTCTCTCTCTCTCTGCCTAGTCGAGGGCGAGATTGTTTAGTCGGTTCCGAAATTAAGACTGGTGGTTGTTTGATGAGTTCAATTCATTCTCCCTAACACTGAAATATAACTGCTTTCCTGACCGAATTGAACTGAGTCATGCCCCTAATGGGTACTCTTCCATAGTGTGTGTGTGCCATAATTCTATTTGGATTTTCCTTGTCTTGGGTCTATTACAAGCTTGGTTACTGTTAGTGAGTATACTCCATAGGATTCAGTCCATGTACACAAATTGATGTAAAATAGGCAACCAACATTAGTTACCTCCATATTGGTACACATACTTCTGGAGTGCCGCCTGTTGCACCAAACTTAGTTCTTGGCATTTCAGTTGTTAAACTCTCTGCTGGATGTGAAAGCACATACGGTATGTGATTTTGTGTAACGAACCATAACTGTTTTCTGATCGTATCAAACTGCTTTGAGAGTCAATCAGTATTCACAAGCACCTGATGTACAACTATAATTCTATAAAATCACTGTAGGTCATGGCTTTCCAGTGGTTGTCACAACCCCGTCAAATCCTAAAAAATTTTACGACCCCTGTTAAGTCACTATTGTTAAGTCACATTCTCGGGTCTTACAACCACAGTGGGCATTGTTATGCAAGCGCGTCGCTTCTCTTTTCCTATATATTGTCTCTCAATCTTGAGATTTATGTTTTGCACTAGTTTTAGTAATTGTGTTTCGAATCAAGTCTGAAAAAGGTACAACATATATAGGCTACTACTTGGTGTACTCTTTGAGGCCCCTACAGGGCCCAGACTCCCAGTTTCGGAAGCCCTGTTTCAAGGTACCTGTCACGTCACCCTGGGCGCACATAGCAGGGCAAGAAATTGAAACTGCATAGTGTTGAGTGTCATGAGTACCTGTGCCATTGCATCTCTGATTACCCAGCACAATTTTGCAGAAGTGGATCACACGTTGGATAATAAATGCAGGACAGTTGCCGGACTTCCCACAGTTATAATTGCTGATGGCTCAACCATCAAGTCCATGCATCTGAAACAACTATTCCCATACTTGACATGGGCTGATAACAGAGCACATGTTACTACTACAGAGATAATTAACAACATTGAATTACAATCTTAGATGACTGTGGCTTTTTGGTAAGAGAATTTCCCCAAAGCAAGGTCACACAGACTCCTGCAGAAAGGCTTCCATACCCTAAGTTTTCGGAGGCGAAGCTAATGTCAGTCAAATTTTTCTCAACTGGGGTCGTTGTAATTTTCTCAGACTCCACAAATCTGCATTTAGGTGCTTAATACCAAGCCATTCAATAAATATAAATAGATGCCAGGATGTGACTGGCTAAGGGTAAAATTTAAGGTACTCCAATAGTGTGTGTAGGCCTACCAGGTTAGGGTTAAGCCATAAATTTATTCAGATTTTCCCTATTATTGTTCTGTTACGAGTTCGGGGACTGTCTTTATTAGCCAAATGAATATACCCCCTGCCCATAGGTTTAAGTCCCTTTACACAACTTGATGTAAAGTAGGCGAACAAAATTAGTTACCTCCATACTGGTACACACACTTCTGGAGCGCCAAATTGAATAATAATGACCTCGCAGTCCAATACATTTCTTGGCATCACATAATAGGTTGAACTAGTTAGATAGAACAATTGATACTTAGAATAACAAAATGCACTCAAAAATGGAACTACTAACATTTTTTATCATCACATAATGAGTTGAATCATATAAAACAAGTTGAACAATGCTCTTTGGTACGCCTGCTACATTCCCCACCCCAGTTAAATAGTTAGCCAGCTATTTGTTTTCGGTAGCATGGACTTGATGGTGGAGAAAGCCGTAACCGACCAGCGGTTATGTGAACCACCCTACGATGGCGAGGAGTCCAGCAATTCTCTCGCACATGATCATCCCCGCATGGGATTTGAACCCCGGAACCCACGAAGGGTGATCAGATGCACGATGCGCCACACTGCCGAGCCAATTTTCATAATAACATAGCATGCAACCTGTTCAGGTTGGCGATGTTTAGACAGAAATAATTCAGTTCAAGAAAAAGGAAACAAAAGCAATGTTTTTTTTGTTGAGCAGAAACAGGTTCGTTGCTGCTCATAAAGATTATCTAATAAAAATAACAAGTGAACATGTTCATATAATATGCACATTATTCCAGCACAAATGGGAACACTGCTTAGCAGTAATATGGAGGCCTCAAAGGACTGAGAGAGTTACCGGGTCAGCGACCGTCCCCTCTTGGTTGAATTTTTACCAAAAACATCATATATCTTTATTGACCAATAAGAAATAACCGAAAATCAAAACACAAAAAATGGACAAGCAGAAATTACTAGAGTAATAAACGGCGCAAAAGCACAAATAATTTATAGTGTATTTATGAAGAGAAATGGAATGGTTTCCAAAAAGATGAATGAGTATATTTTTATGACGGATACGAACTTTTACTCCTCATTTCTTAGACGAAATTGGACTAATCTTATTACGGTATTAAATCAATAATATCTATCCAAATTTAATAGCCATTCGGAAGATAGCTCTTGACGCTTCAATGGCTTATTGCTGATTAAACCTTCTTCATAAAGATTACAAAAGTGAACATTGTCATATGATACGCACATAATATTTATTCAAACACCAAATAAATGGGAACACTACATATAGATTGTGGGGGGGGGGATTGAATGACAATCCTCTCAAATAGTGTAATTAAATTATCATTAAAAGACAAATAAAAATACTATTAAGATAATAAATCGAGCAACAATACATTCGGCGAATCAACATTGCGTTCATTTACAGAAACACAAATTGCTTACTAATATGAATAAGCAGAATAAGAACGTGATAGGGTATTCAAAAAAGTTTGAAAGTATGTTAAACGTGGGTAATAAGGCGATTTCACCGCATTTTTTATGAGAAATATAGAGACGAATATACTTTTATGATAAATATAAACTTGCTCTATATACTACGTTAATCTCTTCAGAGCAGTGGTTTCCAAACTTTTTTTTTCGCGACCCCAATTTTTTTATATTAGGAGCCTACAGATACTCGCCACCACACAACTAGAAACGTTGAGCAACCTAAAAAACAGTACTGTAAATAAGTTCAATTAACTTAATGGGAACAATGTACCCACCTGTATATGACGGTGAACATTGACTCAAAAATGGCGCTCCCGTAGTATATGAACCAAGATAGCGGACAACGGCACGTAGTATGTGTACCAGGTTAGGGACTAGGCAGAATTTTTCCAATTTTCCTTATTTTAGTTCTATTACGAGTTCGGAGACTAGCCGAGTAACTCCCGTAGTATTTGTACCTGAAATTAAGGTCTAATTCTAACCTGGTATACATATAACGTAACGGTGTCCGCCATCTCAGTTCACATTCATCTGTTGGCAATTAATGTAATAAAGTCATTTTTTTTTGATAAAATCAACCAGTTGAAGCAAAATGAGATTCAAGCTTGAATGACTCATTCCCAGCATTAGGAATTATTCGATACATTGTTTGTGGATTCTAGCTGCCATAGAACTTGACTCCTGTATCAGCGATCGATGCTCTGAATCTTCTCAACTGATCAGGGTTGAAGTTGCATTTTACCATCCTCAATTTTTCAACCTGGCATTGATGAACAATTTCACTGATTGTTGATAATCCTTCATCTCCGAGTTTGCTGACTATGTTCATACTCAGATCCAAGCATTTTATCTGAAAATATTAAGTTCCTTAATTTCAAAATCATGAACAACAAAACAAAGTTGATTAAATTCTTCTTAATAATACAAAACTTTTTGATTACTGCAGCATTTGTACCAGTAGCAATCTGACGGAATGCTAATATTTCGTCCGACAAGAAATGTTTTTATCATTACCAAACTAACTTTGATTTACTTTTAATTTTTGTCGCCCTGTATTTATGTGCCTGGAACTATTGGAACTTTCAGATCAAAGTCTCCAATCTCTACTCCAGTTCACTGTTTTGAAGTATCGATACCAACTAAATTTGATTTCCTGTGAAATTTCAACTGTGAATTATGGTTTGGGTATTAGATACCTGTTACTGCTGATAGGAAACGTTTTGATCTTTATCAGTCCAAGTAGAATTTTTTTTTTAAATTTTCATTGGCTGACCAAGCATCAGTACTTATGAGTGTGGCACACCAGACAAGGGTATATATGAATTTTTATGCTGTTTTGCATTGCAATTTCCAACAAAAATCTGATTTTTGTGATATCACCCCATTTTCACAAAACCAGAATTTGAAAAAAAATACCGTGATGTTATCAAGGTACATATTGAAAGGTAACAGGAAATCTAGGTAAAATGCTAAAAACAAAAAAAATGTTATCAGTTATAAGCCCAAGTAGATTTTTGATTTTCAAATTTTCATTCACCGCAGACCAGTACTTATGGACATGAGGCATTGTTTGAATCAAGTCACAAATCTTTATGTGACAAGTGATAATGCAAAACCTGGTAATGCTGAATATATTATATTTATCATTATCAGTCTAAAGATATTTTTAGTTTTATTTGATAGTCATAGTAGATTTTATAACCAACGACTAAATAGACTAATATGGGTAACATTGAGTTTAACCAGCAGTATTCAAAAATCAAATTAAAATTTAGATGTGTAATGTGTATTAACAACTTTACCACATTGCTGCAGCAAGCAAGTGAATTTACAATTTTTCCAATACAACATCAATCAGCATGTAAACTCAGATTAGATCAATTTCTTAATTTCAAAGACTTGCACAAAAATCTCTTTAAAGTCTCAATTCAAATCTCTCTTGTGGTAACTTGAAATTAGTCATTTTGTTTGGTCGCGTCACTTCAAGTCTTTGTAAGATTGTGACTCATTAAATAAATGACTTGAATCTCTTAAATACTTTTTTTGACTCCTACAATAATAGGTATATAAATATATACATACCAATCCTCTATTAAACCAATTTTCAGTTCAAATTTATACTGTTTAGACATTCATGGTCATCACATGAAGCCTCCTCTATGGTGGCCCATCGTTGTCACGCGTAAAATTGGAAAAAAAAGAAAAAACTGAAAATAAAAAAATAGGGGTGAAAAACATGAAAAAAAAAATGAAAAAAAAAAAAAAATGAAAATAAAATAAAAACGAAAATAAAATAAAAACAAAATAAAAAAATGCAAAAAAAAAAAAATTGAAAAAAAAAAAAAAAAACTCGAATAAAAAGGTTGACAACGATGGTCCGCCTCGTGGCCCATCGTTGTCACACGTTTTTAATTTGAGAAAATTTGCTGCTGCTTGGGACCAACGTTGTCAGGAATAATCCTACGCGCACAAATGTGTTCCCTGGGTTTCTAATTCTCTACTGATTTTCTTGAGCAATATCCAATAAATTAAATATGAAAATGTTTTATAAATTTTCCATGCTACAAGTTCAACCAGAAGTAATGTATTTATAATAATGTTAAAAGAGTATAGAATTGAATACGAAAATTCGGAAAATTTGTTTTTACGTGTAGAAGGTAATTGAATTAGGGCATGCTGCTAAACTGCTCAGTTGTCCGGACACTCGTGCGATGCCGGTACCGTCTGACCAAAGGGGTTGTAGTCGCTTTGCGTCTGACCGTAATGGAACCCATGCAATCACTCATGAAACGAATGGGAGATACGGATAGTCTTGTAGAATATAGTGAATCGAGGGATGGATCATTGGTCTGGATCGGCATGTTATGGCTGTACGGTATGGGGCAGGCGCAGAGATTGTTTCAGTAGTCTATATTCTACTAGACTATCCGTACCTCCTATTCGTTTCACCGATACGGTCAAGCGCAAAGCGACTATAACACCTTTGGTCAGACGGTACCGGCATCGCACGTGTGTCCGGACAACCTAGCAGTTAAGCAGCATTCTCCAATTCAATTACCTTCTACACGTAAAAACAAATTTTCCGAATTTTCGTATCCAATTCTATTTTTTCTTATCATTATTATAATTATATTACTTGTAATTGAACTTGTAGCATGGAGAATTTATAAAACATTTTCATATTGAATATTGCTCAAGGAAATTCGAAGTGAGTTAGAACCCCTGGGAACACCGTTTGTGCGCGTAGGATTTTTCCTGACAACGTTGGTCCCAAGCAGCAGCAAATTTTCTCAAAATAAAAACGCGTGACAACGATGGGCCACGAGGCGAACCATCGTTGTCAACCTTTTCATTTTATTTTTATTCAAATTTTTTTTTTTTTACTTTCTTTTTTTTTGCTTTTTTTTATTTCGATTTTATTTTTTTTTCGTTTTTATTTTTTCATTTTTTTTCCATTTTTATTTTTTTTTCATTTTTTTTTATGTTTTTTCACCAATATTTTTTTTTATTTTACTTTTATTTTCAGTTTTTTATTTTATTTTCAAATTTTTTTTTCAATTTTACACGTGACAACGATGGGCCACCATACTCCTCTGACCAAAAAGCATTACGTTTTTACATTACAAAAAGCATTAGAATTTCATGCTTGATGGGGAAATCTGAGAGTTGACTAGGACCACACTAAATTGCTTGATGGGTTGAATTGTGGCCCGCGGGTTGCCTGTTGCACACCCCTACTGTAAATTATATTTCGCACCACTGGTTGGCACCATTAGTATTCATTGAATAGGGAAATACATTCTATAAATTTTTAATATTAAGTTTTGCCTCAGATTATCAAAGACCTGTCATTAGAAGTAGCTAATTACTTATGGATAAAAAGTTACTTTTCACTATATAGTAGAATAGAAGGTTTAAATCAGTGATGGGGGGGCACCTTCATACTCAACAAGTCAATTTCTGTATTCTGGGTTAGTATTGTTTAATTTTGGGATTTTCACAAGCAGCATTTGAATCAGGACTGAGATGATTTTTTTCACTTCACTGTTAGATTTTTTTGCAATAATATGTGACTGAGCAGATTACCCAAGAATAGTCTTACTAAATATATGAAACAAACCACGGGGACAGTACGATTTGGGCAAGCCTTAGGTCATTCCGAATCCTAATAATATTCAACTCAGTTAAGTGAAATGGTATCTTTTTTCAGTTGTACCCCATGTATTCAGTGTTGTTATTTTTAGGGTTGGAACGAGTCCGGCATTACAAAGATTCGACGAATCCGAGTAATAAGTCAAAGACTCGAATCGAATTCTCCGAGTCTGTGATGTCGCAATGTAAAAGCAAAAAAACATGTTTTTGACCATGCTACAGCATCGTGCGCTCACAAACACACGTCGTAGCTCATTTTTTTGCCTAGTGGTTCTGCAGATAGCTGTTGAATCATTTTTAAAATATATTTTTCCTCTTTTTTGGCGGCCATAATACAAACGTAAACGTGGGTTAATGTGCGCCTTGGCTGTGAACTGGATTTCCAGCCCACCTTGCGTCAATTCTGGGTGCCTATTCAGGAATTCCTTACATGTCAATATGAAAAATGAAAAGCTTTTGATTACAATGCTTTCCCATAGTTCCAGATATTTCTAGCCGTAAATTTACTATGTCACGTGCGCAAATGGTAGAGAAATGCCACTCGTTGTCAATGCAATGTTGTACATCTGCTTGTAATTTAGTAGTTCATGTAAACGTTGTAAAATTCTCCATGCTTTCCATATCTCCCTTTTTAGAGAGATTGCACATAATAAAATAATAAAAAAATAAATTATTGTGCTAACACATATTTTATTGTGTACCACATGTATACCAAAAAGGTTTGATAGTTTGAAGGCGACTGGCGCAACATCATTGTTATAAGCGATTAATAGTTTTTAACTTGCGTTATATTATCTGGATATCTGTCGTCGTCTTTATTAGGAGTGTATATAATACACACGAGGGATATTGTTACAGATCTAACCTTGAATTAAGATAACCTTAAAGATATGTAGTGAGATTTATAGAGGCAAAAGTTCAAATATAGGGGAAAAATTAATAAAAACAGAATTGATTATAGACTCGGTAAAAATGACGTGGACTCGAAATCGAATCCAAGTCCAAATAATGCCTGGATTCGACTTGAATCCGAGTCCGAATCCCGTAATCCAGTAATTTTACTTGGGTTGGGATTTTTAAATGAACTTGATGCATGAGAACAAAGCACGAACTTCAACTATTTTTTTATGGTCATTTTGAAATTATAGAAATCTTTTTAAAATTCAAGGACATAGCAATTAAGCTTCAATAATATTATCCTAATGAAGCAGATATGAATAAAAGTCGGGGCTGATAAAATTCTTTTATGTCCGCTGCAGTTTCCCGCTGAATATAAAAAAAATTGAAAAATGGAATTTATACATGGTGAAATCCATATATCATTCCATTTCTCATGGGATAATTTCTCATTCATGGTGAAGCTATAATGGCCCAGGAGGATAAACAATTAAAACGTCAACATTAGTACTCACACAAAGTAAACATATTGTACTTTAGCGATAAATAAATGCGGATACTTAAAACTATTGTTTGGAATCAGAACGTAAAAGTTAACTGGAAGACGTGTTGTTTCATTAAGTTATTCTGTACTAAAGTCAAATAACAAAAAAGCATCATCTAATAATGAAATTACGATATATAAAAAGAAAATGAAAACTATGACAGAATCATTCCTTTAACAATTATGATTTGAGCATTTATTAAAGTGGAATCTAATATCGCTTTACAAAAAACAACAGTGGCTTACAGTCTAGTGGC